AAAAAAAAAAAAAAGTAACCGGTAAAATTGAAGAAACAAAATTGGGCAGCCTCCTAAAATTAGGCTAAGAGGAGGTGCTGAGGTAGACATGAACTAGAACGTCAATTAATTAAAAACACGAATTCTGTAATACAGAGCGATAGGACTGGCACTTGTGCTGTCACCACAGAAGACAAGCCACAAAAACAAACAAGTAACAAAACGAAACATAATACCCAAACCAAAAGGCTTAGTTTTGCTTGGTCCAGCAGGGCAGCGGGGGCCCCCAGTGCTATAATTTACATACATATATATATATATTTATCTTTATATATATGGGTTGGATGTCATGGTGCACCACCACGGCTTTGTAACCTCACAAAGATCATGCATAACACTACGTGAACAAATTCTATGACACACACCAGGAGGCTGGTACCCTGTCTGCAAAGTGGGCCATCAAGGACCCAGGAAGGCAGGGCCGGCAGCCGACAGGCCTGCGAGGCCCGCACCCCTCTCTCCCCACCCTCTTCCCCTGACCCAACCTCCCTGGTCTCTCTTGCACCCTCTCCCGGCTGGCTCTGCCTTCTCCTCCACCCGTGAGCACCACGGAGCAGGGTCAGTCTGGCTTTCTTCCCTCCTACTGAAACGTCCAAGGAAGTGCTGCCATGAAGCTCCAGGAAGGAGGAAATCAGATGGAAGAGGGAAAAAGATAGGACAGAGGCCCAGGAAAAATGAACAGAGTCTGATCTTTCTCTGCTTTTCTAACACGTGGTGCCCCAGCTTTCACTCTTACTGGACTTGCAGGGGACTCTCCACAAATCTCGTCCTGCCCGCCACCCTCACTGGACAGTCCAAAGGCTGCCCCATCACTGCTCACCCCTGCAGCCGGCCGTACCAACAGCATCCAGAAGGGTACCATACACTTGTGAAAAATTGCAGCAAATATTGTGTTTTTTTTCTACACATGGAGAAACGTTCAGGCACAAAGACTAAACAAGCCCGCATTGCATCCCTGGATTGTACTGAATCACTGGGGCCCCCAGCCTCCCTACCCACCCCTGCACCCCAGATCTACCTTCCCCATATCCGTGGCCTCCTCCAAAGCAGCCCAAAGCAGCAATGATATTTACTATTTTATATCTCTCTCTTGCTATATATATATATATCTATATATTTGTCTATCCTATATACACATAGGATTTTAATGCTTTGAATGAGTGAAGGAGTGAATAGGGAAAGAGCACATGATGGGTAAATGTCACCAAAAGCATTAAGGGACACGCCTGTAGGAGCTGAACACTAGAAAGGGACCATTAAGCAGCTCGGACTTTCCCGGCTGGAGAAGTTTCGCTAATGCTGGGTAAGGCAGTAGCAGGGAGGGTCGTCAGCGGTAACACAGCTAAAGGCAGCAGGTGGCCAAGGGGCCAGATGGCAGAATGGAGAGGGAAGTGACACTCAGCTCTCACCTGGGGAGACAGCACCCTCTGCCCTCCTAGTCTCCCCAGCCCCCTTTATTCAGACACATCTGAAGACTCCAGATAATTTTCGACCTTCGCCTTGGCCCTTAGGCCTGGCGAAGAAGGCCTTGGCAAAGTCAGAATTACTTCATCTTTGTGAGTAGGAACCTAGCAAAGAGGCATGTTGGACTCTACCCGGGTGTCGAGACTTCGTCGGGGAGGAGGGGAGAGCAAAGCCAACACGGGCGTCTCCCATTCAGTATCCTTCAGAAACCACCCATCCTGACCCCCTGTCCTCATTTCCCTGCTAGGGTCCCTCAGGGACGGTGGGGGGCAGACAGGTGCTCACTTAGTACCATCCGATGCTGCAACACCAGATTACAACAATACTGCGTGACTGAACACACAACCACACACAAAAAGCACACGCGCGCGCACACGCACACACAGAGGGGTATTTTGGTGGTGGCGGTGGTGGATTTTTTTTTTTTTTT